ATGTGTATATGTGTGTGTATGTATATTCAGTATACACATGCACACATCTACATATATGTGTATGTGTATGTGTACACACACACACACACACAGGTGAACAGTTCTACCCCATTTGACTTGTCACATCAATGCACTTCGGTATTGGTTTTAACATGCCTAGGGGATTTTACCATTATTATAATTAAGGGGTATTCCATCCTGCTCCTACTCCTCACCCCACACCCTTCTAGTACTGATCATGTTACCTAGTTGGGTAATGAAACATCTGCAAGAAAACAACCAAGCTCAAAGACCACAAGGACCTCCTAGTCTTCCTCCCTCCTCCTTTTTCTCCTCCCCTTTCCCCTTCCTCCCTCCTCCTTTTTCTCCTCCTCCTCCTCCTTTCTCCTCCTCCTCCCTTCTCCTTTCTCCTCCCCTCCTCCCTCTTCCTTCTCCTCCTCCCCTCCTCCTCTTTCTCCTCCCCTCCTCTCTCTTCTCCTCCTCCTCCTTTTTCTCCTCTTCTTCCCAACATTCTACTGCAATTGATTTTAAAGCCTGGTCACGTTTTGTTTTACTGTTTTGTAGAGATGTTTTGTAGAGATCTTAGAATGCTTCTGCTGCTTTGGGTCAACCTTTGATCTTTTTCCTCTAGCCAGAGCCTTTTTTTTTTTTTTCCAAGGCACTTTGATTACGGCCCTTAACAGTTGATAATACTTATCTCAAGGCCTTAAACCTTTTACCTTGAGTCCAACTTGTTGTAAACAATGGAACAGAGCACGCGGGATTCTCCTAAGAAGCCCTACACGTGTGGTTTTTCAGTACGAAGCATAAAACATGTGCTGTGCAAATGCTAATTATTATTATTTTTGGACAAGCTTCCTTCTATTCCTTTTTAAAAAAGACATATCCAATCAATCTTGATTCTTGTTGAAGAATGAGCCACAGTGGCGCAGTGGTTTGAGTGCAGTACTGCAGGTTAATTCTGCCGACTGCCAGCAGTTCGATTCTCACCAGGCTCAAGGTTGACTCAGCCTTCCATCCTTCTGAGGTCAGTAAAATGAGGACCCAGATTGTTGGGGGCAATAGGCTGACTCTGTAAACTGCTTAGAGAGGGCTGTAAAAGCAGTATAAAGTGGTATATAAGTCTAAGTGCTTGTTGCTTGCTTATTGTAATGAAGGAAGATTATTTTTACAGCACTGTAGTGGAATTCCACACGAAAACTTATGGGGAGTCCTTGGAAGCAAATCCGATTCAATTCAGTGGAATGAACACTTTTGATTCAAAATCTGACCACAAATACTATTTTTTTTGTTTTGTTTAATCAAGTCACTCAAATGTGCTTAACCCAAGCAGTTAAGCCAGAAAATGCCTGTTTTGGCATAGCATGGTAAGAAGGTTTATTTTATCTTCTGGATGTATCTTCTGTTGCACGAATGGGAGCTCTTAATCCTGATTGTGTTGTGTAAACCCTGAAATGGGGCTTAATTTAGTAGCCTGGTTACACATGTAAAGAGAAGACAGTCAAACCACCAACCCCTCTCTAAAACCCTTGGAGGAGGAGGAAGGTGTGATGGTTATGTTCCCTGCCTTGAGTTATTTACAAGGTGATAAAAGTGAGAAAAGAAAAAGAAAGAAAGAAAGAAAGAAGGAAGGAAGGAAGGAAGGAAGGAAGGAAAAGGAGGGAGGACAGAAGGTAGAGAAGAAGGGAGGAAGGGAGGAAGAAAGGGAAAAAAGAAAGGAAGAAAAGGGAAGAAAGGGAAAAGGAAAGGAAAGAGGGAGACAGAGGGAGGGAGGCAGAAAGGGGAAAGGAAGGGAGGGAGGGAGGAACGGGAAGAAAGGAAAAAGAAAAAAGGGAGGAAGGGAGGAAGAAAAGGATGAAGGAAAGGAAAGCGAAGGAAGGAAGGGAAAAGAACGGGAAGAAAGGAAAAAGAAAAGGAAGGAAGAGCGGGTGGAGAGAAAGAAAGAGAGAGAGAGAGAGTCAGAGAAAGAAAGAAAGAAAGAAAGAAAGAAAGAAAGAAAGAAAGAAAGAAAGAAAGTCTTTCCAGCGATAAAGAGCCTGCTTCGGATGGATGGCAGCCTGCCTTGCCCGGGCTCTTCCTTCCCCACAGGCCAGGGAGCGCTCTACCCGTTGAACTTCCGACTGGCACAACCTTCGAAAGCGCCAGGAACAGAAGCGGCGGCGATCCGCCTCCGATCAACCTTCTCTGCCCACAGCCCAGGCGGGGCTCCTGCGCGCCGCGGAGCTCGGCGGCGGCCAGGTGGCCCTTCCGCCTCCGGCTGGCTTTAGGTGGCGTCTGCCTGGTCGCCCAGCCCTTCCTGGGGCGCTTTCCCGAAGTCGGCGGAGGATGGGCCCGGCCGGGAACGAATCAGGAAGGAGCAACCGAAGAGGAGAAAGAGAAAGTAAAGACTTCCTCGGAGTCACTTCCTTTCCCCCAGCGAGGTCGGCGCGCTGCAAAAACCTCCAGGTAAGCAGGAAGGCGCGATCGGCTGCGTTCACATGACCCCGCGGGGAGGAACTCGTGTCCAGCTTCTCTCTCCTAGAAGCCTTCAAGGATAGGAGGGGGGGGGAGAGAAAGAGACGGAGAGAGAAAGAGAGAGAGAGAAGACAGGAGGGAGGGAGACAGACGGACGAGAAAGAAAGAGAGAGATGGAGGAGAGAGAAAGAGGGACGGAGGTAGACAGAGACAGACGAGAAAGAGAGGGAGAGAGGGGGGAGAGAGAAAGAGAGAAAGAGAGAGAGGGAGAGAGACAGAGACGAGAGAGAGAAAGATAGAGGGGGAGAGAGAGAAAGAGAGAGACGGAGAAAGAGAGAGACGAGAGAGAGAGAGAAAGACAAAGACAAACAGAGAGCGAGAGAGCCGTGGAAACGGGCCGAGCGCCTCAGCTCCAAAAGTTGGAGCCACTTTTACGCGCACCAAGTTGATCCAAAGCGATCGCTCTCTTGGGGGCTGAACGGGATCTTTGCTTTCTCTCTCGTGGGTTAGGGTACCCTGGTCGCCTGGGGAGCCCGTCGGGAAAGGGAGACGGTGGGTCTTCCTCTTTACCGCTGTAATGAGTTCGCCTCCGCTCAGGTCCCGGTCCGCGGCCGCTCGGCGCAAAGTTGGAGATACTATTACGCGCACCGAGTTGGTCCCAAGCGAGCGTTTTCGAGGCTTGAAATGGTGATCTTTTCTTCCTCTCTCGCGGGTTAGGGTGCCCTTGGTCGCCTGGGGAGCCCGTTGGGAAAGGGAGACGACGGCTCTCTGTCTCTCTCTCTCCCTCCTCCTCCCCCCCACAACAGGCAAGATTTATTTTCTCTCCCCATGTACATGTTTACATCCAAATTAACTGTGTTGTTTCTCCATGTCATATAATATATATGGGTACATGCATAATTTTGTATTTGCTTATTTGCTTATTTACTTATTTACTTACTTATTTACTTACTTATTTATTTACTTACTTACTTACTTATTTATCCATTTATCTGTTTATCCATTTATCCATCCATCTTTCCTTCCTTTCTTCCTCCCTCCCTCCCTCCCTCCCTCCCCCCCTTTCTTCCATCCACCCACCAACCTACCTACCTGCCTACCTACAGGTATTTATTTATGTCTGTCTGTATGCATGTATTAATAAGGGATGCGGTGGCTCAGTGGCTAAGACGCTGAGCTTGTCGATCAGAAAGGTCGGCAGTTCGAATCCCTAATGCCGTGTAACGGAGTGAGCTCCTGTTACTTGTCCTGGCTTCTGCCAACCTAGCAGTTCGAAAGCACGTAAAAAAAATGCAAGTAGAAAAATAGGGACCATTTTGGTGGGAAGGTTACAGCGTTCTGTGCGCCTTCAGTGTTTAATCGTGCCGGCCACATGACCACGGAGACGTCTTCGGACAGCGCTGCCTCTTCTTCGGCTTTGTAACAGAGATGAGCACCACCCCCTAGAGTCGGAAACGACTAGCACATATGTGTGAGGGGAACCTTTACCTTTACTTTTATGCATGTGTTTATTTATTTATTTTCTCATGTTCATGTAGTATATGTTAGAGGTGGAGACCCTTGGAGAGCTGTATGCCATGAAATTTCATTTTAATGTATGCCAACCAGTGTGCATTCAAAATGACAATAGAGCTATTCGAAGTCTAAAGTCGTCAAACTCAAAGGACACCAAACTCTCTGCCGTTCAAGCCTGAGCTACAAAATACAGCTAGCCCCCCACTTACAGTGGTTCATTTAGTGACCATTGGAAGTTGCGCTGCCACTGAAAAAAAGTGAGTTATGACAACTTATCACAACACATAGTCAACTTCTATGCTAGATCTGTGCTTCACATATATAGATTAGATAGAGATAGAGAGATAGAGATGATGGATATAGAGATGATGGAGTGAGAGATAGATAGAGATATACATATAGATGTACATAAAACAACACATTGTCAATTTCTATGCTAGATCTGTGCTTCACATATAGATATAGATTAGATAGAGATAAAGAGATATAGATAGAGATGATGGAGATAGCTATAGCTATAGATAACAACACACTGTCAACTTCTATGCTAGATCTGTGCTTCACATATAGATATAGATTAGATAGAGATATAGAGATAGAGATAGAGATGATGGAGATAGCTATAGCTATAGATAACAACACACTGTCAACTTCTATGCTAGATATGTGCTTCACATATAGATATAGATCAGATAGGGATCTAGAGATATAGACAGAGATGACGGAGATAGAGAGATATAGATATACATATAGATGTACGTGTACATAAAACAACACATTGTCAATTTTTATGCTAGATCTGTGCTTCACATATAAATATGAATGTGGATATGGATATAGATATACATATGCAATCCTAAGTTGCATTAACAGAGGGATACAATCAAGATCAAGTGACCTTGCTAATATTACTCTATAAAGCCTTAGTAAGACCACACCTAGAATACTACATCCAGTTTTGGTCACCACACTATAAAAAAGACATTGGGACTCTAGAAAGAGTGCAGAGAAGAGCAACCAAGATGGTGAAGGGACTGGAGGCTAAAACTTATGAAGAATGGTTTCAGGAACTGGGTTTCACTAGTCTAGTGAAGAGAAGGACCAGGGGAGACAGGAGAGCAGTCTTCCAATGTTTGAGTGGAAGGGGTCAAGCTATTCTCCAAAGTATCCAAAGGCCAGACAAGGAATAATGGATGGAAACTGATCAAGGAGAGATTCAACCTAGAAATAAGGAGAAATGTTCTGACAGTGAGAACAATCAACCAATGAAACAGAAGTTGCCCTTGGAAGTTATGGGAGCTTTGTCACTGGAAGCTTTCAAGAAGAGACTGGACTGCCATGGGTCAGAAATGGTGTAGGGTCTCCTGCTATGGCGGGGGGGCTGGACTAGATGACTTACAAGGTTGCTTCCCTTGCAGCCACCCCATAGTCACATGATCAAAATTCAGACGCTTGGCAACTAACTCGTATTTACGACGGTTGCAGTGTCCCAGGATCAGATAAGCAAAGTCAACAGGGAAGCCAGATACACTTAAGAACTGTGTCACTAACCAAAACAACTGTAGTGATTCACTTAACAAGGGTGGCAAGGAAAACCGTGAAACATAGGAAGGCTCGCTCAGCAGCGGGAATGGGCTCAATGGTGGCCGTAAGTTGAGGATGACCGGTATTCCCTATCAGTTCTCGTCTTTATTCGATGCAGCAACTCACTTGGTATTAACTATGGTCTGATAAGGAAGGTAGCGGGAGAACTGAGCCAAATTTGCACTGTGGTATGGTAAAAGTAGCGGAGCAAAATGAGTCGAAGTTTTAGACATATTACATGCATCGTTGGCATCCTGACAAGCTTTTTAAAACTGAAAATTCACACAACCATGTACTAATGTTTTCCAAGTTTTCCAAAAAGTGTGCATAATTTTTTTGTAAGGTGTAACAAATCAACATCTTTGGCTGCATCGTAAAAAAAAAAAATGCTCTGTTTACTGTTCCCTTCTCCTGGCAGCTCTGTGCATGCGCACACTGAGAACAGGCTCCAGCTGTTCTTCTGTCCCAATTTGCTGTAATGGTTAATGGTGTTGACCTAGAAACTAGGAGAGTGTGAGTTCTAATTCCACCTTAGACATAAAAACCAGCTGGGTGACTTTGGGCCAATTACCAGGAGACAGTGAGTTCTAGTCCTGCCTTGGGAATAAAAACCAGCTGAGTGACTATGGGCCAATCTCTAGGAGACAGTGAGTTGTAGTCCCACGTTAGACATGAAAGTCAGCTGGGTGACTTTGAGCCAATTACCAGGAGACTGAATTCTAGTCTCTTTTTTCAGGTTCATTGTTACTGTTCTTCCCAAGATCATAAAGCAGATTCCTCGTCCCGATAAAACCCCTTTTATTTAGTTTAAGTGGAATCCCTCTCCAGCAAAGTCCCAGCAAACAGCCTTTCATAAGAGTTTACAACTACAGTCCTTTATCAGGCTTGGAGAGTTGCCAGGCCGATATCTTCCAAATGCCACACTGGAGCAGCAATTACTTGGCAAGAAGTCAGGAACAGATCTTCACCCTAATGAATTGAACTAATTGTCTCCTGCAGACACCACTCCCCTTTTGCTCCTCTTCATTCCCTAAGTGAGGGGCCACTCACTGTCCATCTGAGCTTTAACTCCCGAGTCAACGCTCGTTTCTTAACTGTTCCCTTCTCCTGGCAGCTCTGTGCATGCGCACACTGGGAACAGGCTCCCGCTGTTCTTCTTCTTCACTGATCTCTGATTCAGAAGGCAGCTGATAACTGTCGGATGGCCCTGGCCCCATCTTTGCCTCTGACGCAGATCCCTCGTCACAGCCTTTCCAGACTCCAGGACTGGCCCATGTTCCTCCACAACCTCCTCACTGTCTGAATCTGCTGCCAGCTCTGCTGGCAGGCCACAACAGTAACTTTGAGTGGTCATTACATGGATGGTTGTAAGTCGAGAATGCCCTTTAATTCCAGCCATTGGCTATAGTGGTTTCAGCAACTATCCAGTAAATTTTAACAACCTTTGCTCTAAAACAGTGGTTCGAGCCTCTAATCCAAAATAACCCTTTGAATTTCCAAAGTGGTGCAAAACCAGACACTTCTTAAAACAAACAAGCAAAGTCTCAACAAGATTTCCTGGTCAATGTGGGAAGTAGAGGTGTTTTGACCTAGATAGAAAGTATTTCCTGCGAAATCTTTAGACTTTCCTGTCTGGCTGTGTTTGATGGTTTGTTTTTGTTTCAATGGCCATTTTTAGTACAGCTTTTATCCAGCCTTCTGATTTCTGGACGAGGTAGCAAGGGAAACAGAGTAGTCGTAATCTTTATTTATTTTTATTATATATCTATATTTTCTTTCTTTCTTTTTCTTTCTGTCTTTTCTTTTTTCTTTCTTTCTTTCTCTTTCTTTTCCTTTCCTTTTTTCCTTTTTCCCCCTTCCTTTGTTCTCTTTCTCCCTCCCTCCCTCCCTCC